GGGAGTGAATGCGCCTCGGGAAGCACTGGCAAGCTGGCGGAAATGGCGGCGTCGATGACAGAGGCGATGGCGGCGGCGATGGCGGCGGCGATAGTGGCGGCATCCCCGGCCGAGCGAATCGAGCGCGCCGAGCGCGATGTCGCCGCTGCAGCGTCGCCGGCTTCCCAGGAGTTGCTCACGCCGGCTCAAGAGCGCGCCGAGCGCAAAGAGCGCGCTGAGCGCAAAGAGCGCGCTGAGCGCAAAGAGCGCGTTGAGCGCGAGGAGGCCACTGCAGCGTCGCCGGCGTCACTGAGAAAGGCGACGCCTCTGCAGTCTGCGATACATCCTCGCTGCTCCCCTTCCCCATCCCCTCCCGCCTCCCCCTCCCCCTCGCCTTCCCCTTCCGCGCCCTCGCCTTTTCCCGCCGCGTCGCCCGCGTCCGCGCTACTGTCGCACCCGAATTCCCCCTCCCCTTCGTCTCCCTCGTCCCCATCTACTTACCCCTCCGCTTCCCCGCAATCGTCCTGTCCCTCCGCTTCCCCGCAATCGTCTTGCCCCTCAGGTTCCCCGCAATTGATCTCCGCTTCCCCGCAGTCACCGCGCCCCTCCACTTCCCCGCGCGCGATCGAGTTGCCCATCAGCGTCCGCAACCCCTCCGCATTCCACGCGGAAGCTCCGCGGTCCACGGCCGCGCGCCGTTCCGCATCCCCGCAGCCCCCATTATCCGCAGCCCTTCAGCCGCCCGCGCTTTCCCTGCTGAATTCCGCCGCACCCGCCACACCGTCCCCCCAAGCAGTCCCCGCTGCTTCCCCCTTCCTCCACTCTTCTCCTCGCAACGAGTCAGTGGTAACCAGCCCGCATTTCGCCCAGCCAACCCCTTCGCCAGGCTCTCAGGATCCAAGTGAATCAGAGTCGTTTTCAAGTCTCTGTGTAGTACCCGCCATTAACAGCCCTTCTGAAACGGCTACTGCTGCTGCTGTTGCTACTGCTGCTGCTGTTGCTACTGCTACTGCCGCTACCACAACCACTGCGGCAGCCACCTGCCAGTCCTTGGCTGATGCCGTTGCAGCTACCATTCCCTTTGGCCCGTCTGCTCAGCCAATCGCATCAGTTTGTTCCCCGCAGCCCAACCCTTCCTCCGGGCACGCGCATTCCGCAAGCACATCTCCCCCTCCCCATTCCCCTGCGCCCATTCACCACCCCTCCGCCAGCTCCCGCGCCGCCTCAAAGTACCGTTTCGCGCGGAAGCTCCGGGTTCGAATCCCGGCGGTGGCATGTTGCAATCTGGATCCCGTTGATATTGATGCTCTCTGGGAAGAACTGGCGTTGGGAGAGGGGGAGGCGGAAGAGGAGGAGGAGGAAAAGGGGGAGGGAAAAAGAGGGAAGGAATTGCGTCGTCAGTCGAACAGGAAGAAGAGAGGGAGAGATTTTCTCTATGAATCTGGCGGGAAAAGGAGGGGGAAGGGGAAGGTGAAGGAGGAAGAGAAGGGAACGTGGGGCGAGCTGGAGCAACAGAAATGGTTGGGAACCGAAGGGGGGAAGGAGTGGGGGAGGGAGGGGAGGAGTGAGGGGAAGAGTGAGGGGAGAGTATGGCGGAAGGCAAATTCTTGTAAAACGATAGAGACATCCAAGGAGTGCCCAGAATTGCCCGCGAGACAAAGAGGGGGACAGGCGAGGGCATGGCGGAAGGCCAAGCCTTGGAACCCGAGGGAGTGGAGCAGCGTGAGCAAGACTTGGGGGAGAGAGGAATGCGTGTGGGGGAGAGAGGAGTGCGTGGGAAAGGGGGTCTACTTGGAGGCTGTGAGGGAAATCGATACTGCTGCTGCTGCTGCTGCGCGTTGCAGTGTCCGCGGAACTGCGCCCAGCGGGATTGATGAGCGCTCAGCAGATTGTGCTGAGGCTGGGCGGAACTGCTTCAACTTCCCCAGGCTATATTTTGAGGCGCCTCAAAGTACAGCAGATTGTGCTGAGGCTGGGCGGAACTGCTTCAACTTCCCCAGGCTGTATTTTGAGGCGCCTCAAAGTACAGCAGATTGTGCTGAGGCCGGGCGGAACTGCTTCAACTTCCCCAGGCTGCCGAGTCCAAGGGTGTTCAGCCCAAGAGTGTTCCGTTCCGGATTCCGAAGTCCAGCTCTTAAACGAGCAGCAGCAGCAGCACCACCGCTCACACCAGCAGCAGCACCACCACTCACACCACCAGCACTCTTGACTTCGTCCATTGCTCCTGACGGTCACGAATGGGAGAGCCCTTGCAATCCTGCTGCTTCAACTGATCCCCATGCTACAGCCAAGACAGCGATCGCTGTGGGCGGCGATGCAAGCTGCAATGTGGGCGGCAACATGGGCGGCGACATGGGCGGCGACGTGGCCGGGGATGGCAGCAGGGCCCCCGCGCGTCATAATGGTGATGATGATGGTGACTGTGATAATGACGACTGTTTTTCCACTCCTCTGATTGATGGCGAAGGCGGCATACTCGTACCTATAAAGAGTCACCCTTTAGCGAGGACAAGGAGTACCCCTGATCTTGACCAGGCTCAGGTGCAAGCAGAGAAATCAGAGCAAGCAGAATGCAGCAATTTCCTCCTGGCTATTCCGATCCACCTCCGCCGAACCCGCAGCACCGTCCATGTGAGAAGGTCCAGCCCTGGTCCTGGCGGCAGCAGCAGCAGCAGAAGCAGCACTAGAAACAGTGTCACCACCAACATCAGCGACACTGCTCACGTGAGAAGGTCCAGCCCTGGTCCTGGCGGCAACAGCAGCAGCACGAGCAGAACCAGAGTCAGCAACGACTTTAGCGGCACCCACAGCGGCCAGCAAAGCAGCACCAGCAACAGCAACGGAACAAACAGCAGCACTGACGGTGGTGACACTCGAACTCCCACCCACCTCCAAAGCACCCGCCGCTGCATTCACGTCCGGAGCAGCAGCACCAGCAGCGTTTACAGGAGCATGAACAGCAGCAGCACTCGCACCACCACTATCACCACCACTACCATTGGCATCCGAACTTCCACCCAGCTCCAAAGGACACGAAGCGGAAATCATATCAGCAATAGAAGCAACAACAACAGCAGCAGCAGCAACAATAGTACCAGTTCTGCTGCTGCTCCTGACATGAGGTATTTAAGCCACCTGCGAAGGACAAGAAGCGGTGTTCATATCACTAGCAGCCGCAACAGTACCTGCTCTGTTTCCGCTCCTGACTTCAGGAATACTGGGCACTTGCGAAGGACAGGAAGCGGCTTACTGGTTGCTCCTGCCTCTCCTGCAGCAACAGTATGCTTCGTGCTCTCATTCGAAGAACGGCGTTGCAAGCAGCAGCAGCAGCAGCAGCAGGGGGAAGAGGTGGAAAAGAGCTTCTCACATGTGTCCGTGGGATCTCCAAAGTTCAAGGGGACACATTCAAACGAGCAGGTCCAAGGAGCAAGATCTGAAAGAGGAGGGAGCTGTTCACACAGGTCTGCTGCTACAGGTCGAGGAGTACAGGCCAATGACCACTACAGGTTGGGAAGCAGGTCTGCTGCTACAGGTCGAGGAGGAGAATTGGGAAGCAGGTCTGCTGGAAGAAGCAATGACGCCTTGTGCAGGGAAGCAGGTCACAATGACATGGGAGTAGCAGGGAAGGGAGAGGAGTGCAGTCTCAAAGAGACTCAAGAATCGCTTGCAAATGGTGACACTAGAGGCAGTAGTGGGGCGACCCTTGGTGAGGTGACCCTTCACGAAGTGAGCCTTGATGAGAGTGAGAGGAAGAGTCAGCATGGAGTGAACCGAGGCTGTGCAGCAGAGTCTGCTTTTGAGACGACTCAAAAGCAGAGTGAGAGGAAGAGTGAGCATGGAGTGAAGCGAGGCTGGGCAGCAGAGGGGTCTGGCTTGCTGTCAGCAGAGGGGTCTGGCTTGCTGTCAGTGCTAAAAAATGTCGTAATTCGGGGAGGAAGAAAGGTTCTGAGGTATGGTAAAAAGGGAGGCATTATAGAGAACGATGAGGATGATGGGGATGATCAAAAGAGGAGGTATGGAGGAGGTTGGAACCGCAGTAACAGGCCGAGATTCAAGTGGTGCATTTATCGTGGTAACTGGAGGCCGTGGGTTTGTATGTAAGCTGGGTTGGGTTTGAAACGTCTCAGGATGTGCTAGTTTGGTTGCACTTACCATAAAAAATCAGTCAAGAGAAGTAGCTGCCTGTTTTGTACATCCATCACATTTGAATTGCCCAACATGTGTTGGATTCTGCCAGTAATCATCCACTTACAAGTAACTACTTGAACATGTTATCACCTGCTCTTGTTTCTTTGTACTGTTATGGATCAACGCTGGCAAAGTATGGATCAAGCCGAGCCATGTCATGCCCCAGCAACTACAGTGCGGTACTGTAGCACACCTACCAGATGCATTGCATGGCGGTACCTGGGAAACGCATGCGAACATACCGTACTTAATCACTTCTGAGAATGATCAAAGGTGGTGGTGCCATCAGTCAGACCCTCATTCAGAGCTTCTCGTTCAGAGCTTCTCTTTCTCAGATCAACAGACAAACGTAGCAGCAACATCACTAACCTGTTTTACACTAAAAACTAGTCCCACGCTCTCCTCTTCCACACCCCAACCACTTATTGCCCTGTCCCTTATCAGCCACCTCACTCACTGAGTCGTCTCGATCGCACGCTAGTCACACCTACATGCCGTCTCAACAGCATGCTGCGTATGTTTTTTGAGAATTCTCAAAGATCATAACCCCTCCTTTTCCACGCCCCAACCCCTTACCAAGCCCACCCCATTAGCCCCACCCCCTAACCCTCACCTCTTTCCACCTCGCTTCTCCCCGCCTCTAAGATGGTAAGCATTTCTCAAATAGCTATGCCTCCATTGACCCACAAGCTGGTGAACCAGTAAGCTCATATGCTCATACGCTGACCCACAACCATTGACCATAATGCCTGTTAAACAGTGTCTCTCCTTCTCGTGACTTTTGAGTCGATTCAAAAGTCACCCCGACCCACAACCATTGACCATATTGCCTGTTAAACGGTGTCTCTCCTTCTCGTTCGGGAATAGGCCTTCCCATACCTCCCTGCCTCCTCCTCTTTCCCTCCTGCCTTCTCCTTCTTTTTCCCTCCTGCCTTCTCCTTCTCTTTCCCTCCTGCCTTCTCCTTCTCTTTCCCTCCTGCCTTCTCCTTTTTCCCTCCTGCCTTCTCCTGCCCCTCTTCTACTCCTCCTCTTCCCTCTTTCTCCTTCTTTCTTGGCTGCTGCTGCTTTCCCCGACGCGACTGGAGTGTCTCTTTGTGTCTCCCTCCAACCGCTTTCACCTTCCCAGTCCCACGCCCATCACCCAGCTTCTTCACATCACCCACCTTCTTCCCACCAACGCTGCCTGCATCTTCCTCCTCCCCACTGCTCTCCTCCCCCTCACTCCCTTCCTCTCCCTCCTCTTCCTCCTCTTCCTCTTCTTCCTCTTCTTTCTCTTCTTCCTCTTCTTCTTCCTCTTCTTCCTCCTCCTCCTTCTCCTCGTCCTCTCTCCTCCCCTCCCAGCTGTTTTCAAGCATGCCACGAGTCATCCTTCTCGCTCCTAGCACCACAAGGGCTGGTCGTTCTGGAGTCTTTGACTCTTCTTGTTCTGGAGTTTTCTTCGTCTTTTGGGGCTGCTTCACTTGGGATGACTTTTGAGTCGACTCAAGAGTCACTCCTCTCGCTCCTAGTACCACAAGGGCCGGTTTTTCTGGAGTTTTTGACTCTTGGGCTCGCTTCTCCTGGGTCGGCTTTTTTCGGCTCACCTTCCCATCAGTCGGCCTTTCCTGGCTTGACACCGACCCACGAGTAACCTTCTTCCTCTCAACACGCCCATTTCCACCCCTATCACTCTCACTGTCCCTCTCACTCTCGCTCTCACTCTCACTCTCCCTCTCACTCTCACTGCCACGACTCTCCTCGCTGTCATCAAGTCTAACGGCTTCCCCTCGCCGTCTCCCCTTCTCACTCACACTCCCTTTCCCTTTCCCGTTCGCCTTCCCTTTCCCTTTGACATTCCCATTTCCTTTTCCCTTCTTTACGCCTTTCCCTGCCTCTCGTCCCACCAACTTCCGCTCTTGCTCCTTCCCCCCTCCCTCCCCCCCAACGCTTTTCCCTTCCCGACCCTCCATCCTCTTCCCTCTCAACAAAACGGTATCAACACCTTCTGAACTCTCTTCCTCCTCACTCTTTCCTTCCTCCTCACTCTCTTCCTCCTCTTCCTCCTCCTCTTCCTCCTCTTCCTCCTCCTCTTCCTCATCCTCATCCTCCTCCTCCTCCTCCTCCTCCTCCTCCTCCTCCTCCTCCTCCTCCTCCTCCTCCTCCTCCTCCTCCTCCTCCTCCTCCTCCTCCTCCTCCTCCTCCTCCTCCTCACAATCCTTCTTCCTCCTCTTCATCTGCGCTTTCTTCCTTCCCTTGCTGCTCGTCCCGATACGAAGCTCTATCTTTCCATTGTTAACCCATCCTTCCACCTTCCATTCGTTCTCACTATCCCTATCACTCTCATCCTCCCCCTCCTCCTCCTCCTCCTCTTCTTCCTCTTCCACCTCTGCACCTTTTCTCTTCCGCGTTTGCCCAGTCCTCGTTGCATCAACAGCACCACCACTCCGGCCCTTCCCTTTAGAGAGCAGTTTCCCCTTGCTTTTCTTCCCACCACTTCCTCTCCACTCTCCATGATCTTCCTCACTCTCCTCACTCTCGTCCTCGCTCTCTTCCTCTTCCCCCTCGCTCAACTCTTCCTCTTCTTCCTCCCTTTCTTCTTCCTCCTCATCCTCTTCCTCCTCGTCCTCCTCTTTTTCCCTGCGAGGTTTCTTAGCACGGGCATTACTCGCAGCACCACCAACTCCTCCTTTCACTTTAGAATCCATCCTTTTGTTACTGCTCCTCCCTCGCACTTTTCTTTCCTCCTCACTATCCTCTCCACTCTCCTCTTCTTCGTCCTCATCCCCTCCCTCCTCCTCACCTTCCTCCTCCTCTTCCTCCTCTTCCTTCTCTTCCTCCTCTTCCTCCTCACTCACCTCCTCTTTCTTCCGTGATTTTCCAGTTAGGGTTTCAATCGCAGACCTGCCTCTGCTTTTTCCTTTACTAGACATCCTCCCTTTGCTGCTCCTTCCACGCACTTTCATTTCCTCCTCACTGTCCTCGTCTTCCTCATCTTCCTCTTCATCCTCCTCCCCTTCTTCTCCCTCCTCGTCTTCCTCCTCCACATCCTCCCCTCTCCCTCGCTTCCTACCCCTTTGTCTCCAACCCTCTCCATCACTTTCGCCCTTCCCACCCTTCCCACCCTTCGCATCCTTCCCAGCCCCCCCACCCTTTCCCCCCATCTCATTCCCCCCCTTCCGCCGCCAACCCTGGCGGCAATCCGTGCAGAACCAAGCAGCCTTGGCAGCCTTGCGCCTCAGCCCCGCACACACAGGGTGAAACGCCTTACCGCACTGCACCGACGCACACCGCACCACCTCCCCTGCTCCACCCTCCCCTCCTGGCCCCACTGCCTCTCCACACGAAGCACAGAGGGAAGGAGGCAGCAGCTTAGGGGAAGCAGCTCGCAAAGCAGCAGCAACGGCGGCGGCAGTAGCAGCAGGAGAAACAGACAGATTCCCCTTTTTCCCGTTAGAAGCAGCCTGGCGGCCTGGTTCCTTCCCCTTCCCTTTTTCCTTCGCCTCACCACCACTGCCTCTCGCCCGCAGCTTTCTGCCCCCAACCGTCGTAAAACCCTGGTCTTCCTTCTCTTCTTTTCCTTGCTCCCCCAAATTTCCTGAGTCCTCCTCTTCCTCCTCCTCCTTCTCCTCCTCCTCCCCTTCCATATCCTCCTCCTCCTCCTCCTCCTCATCTTCAGATGTCTCAGTGTTTCTCTTGCCTCTGCCCCCCTGCTTTCTCCTACTCTCCCTTGCCTTCATCACACTCCCCCCAATTTTCCTCTTCCCCTGCTTCTTCCTTCCCCCACTACCACCTTTGCTCCTAGTTCCTTTCTCCACCTCCTCTTCCTCCTCATCCTCACTGTCCCCCTTCGCCTCCTCACTCCCTTCACTCCCCTCTTCCACCTCTTCTGCACCTCTCTTTTCCCCCTCCTCACTCTCGTCACTCCCATTATCTGATACCTCCTCGTCCTCTCCTCTCCCCTCTCCTTTATCTCCACCATGCTTTTCCGTCTGAAGCTTGGAAGCGTCAAGGGCATTGCATCGTTCCCTGTGGCGGGAAAGAGAGGAAAGAGAAAGGGCAAAGGCATGAGAAGTGAGGGAAACAAGTGCGAGCACTTCCGCGTCCTCCTCGTCCTCTTCCTCCTCGTCCTCTTCCCTCCTCTCACCATCCTTCCCTGTGTGAAGCTTGCAGGCACCAAGGGCAATGGTGGTTGAACTGGGAAGGAGAAAAGGCGACAAAGCAAGGAATAAGGAGAACATGGTCGACAAAACCGGAAAAGACAGCTAGTACAAGAAAAAACACACCTGAGAGATGCAGAGAGGTATGCGAGAGTGGTGAGTCTGCGAGCACCCATCACCTCCCTCCTCCACACGCGCCGCACTCGCCTCGACCGCCACAAGCACCGCGATGCAGACGGGCCCTTCAGCCCCAACTCCTCCTGTTGAGGCGCCACAAAGGCCAGTCCAAGGGAAGCATACCTGGGGGACGCAGCTAGTGCAAGGGCATACCTGAGAGAGGCAGGTGGTCCGACGGGGAAACACACCTGAGGGAGGCAGCGAGATAGGTGAGGGTGGCGAGCGTGCGAGCACCCATCACCTCCCTCCGCCACACGCGCCGCACTCGCCTCGACCGCCACAAGCAGCGCGAAGCAGACGGGCCCTTCAGCCCCTCCTCCTCCTCGTGCTCCTCCGCTTCACTCACTGTCGCTGCATCATCCTCCTCCCCCTCCTCTCCTCCCTCCTCCTCCTCCTCCTCCTCCTCCTCCTCCTCCTCCTCCCCTTCTTCCCCCTCTTGCCTCGCTCCCCCCTCCCTGTCTGCTCCCAACCCTCCCTCACCACCACCACCTTTCCCTGCCTTCCCAGCGTCCTTCTTTCCTTTCAAGCCTCCCTCTTCCTCCTCTCTCTCCTCTCCCTCACTTCCTTCTTCCTCCTTCCCCTTCCCACCTCCCGCACCTCTCGCCTCCCCAAGAGCACCGTCACAAAGCTTGAAAGCTGCCACCTCAGCGCACAGCAACAGCCGCCGTAGCGCTGCCACCTGGCGCGCCAGCTGGACGCGCTCACTGCTGACTCCCTTGACTAGATTGACTCCTCCTGCCTCTGCTCCTGCCCTCTCTTTTCCTCCCTTTTCTCCTCCTTCCTTTCCTCCTTTTGCCTTTCCTGCTCCGATCTTTCCTGCTCCTGCCTCTGCTCCTGTTTCTGCTGCTGCTGGTTCAGCTGTTGCAGTATCCGAAGCAGCAGCAGGAGCACGAGAGTCAAGACGATTTTTGCCGCCCATCAAGACAGCTAAACCAGAGGAGCTGTGAAGGCCCCCTAACTTGATCTGATCCGATTTAGGTGGGGCAACGGCAGCCGCTTTGCAGACTAGAGCGGCCCAAACACCCCAACTGGGAGCAGGTGTCGCAGCTGTAGCTGTGGCTGCCTTGCTCCTAGTGCCAGCAGCAGCACCAGCACCAGCAGCAGCACCAGCAGCAGTAGTAGGAACTGGTACGAGCACAGAAGCAGCCACAGCAGTGGCTGCAGCAGGAGGCGGAGCTGCCTTTAGCCTCTCCAATACCGTTCTCAACCCCTCCAGTTGCTCTCGGAGCTTCTCGCCGATCAGGCTCGCCTCCCCCTTCCACCTCCCTTCCTCTTCTCGTTTCTGCCCCACCTCTCTCTCCGCCTCCACCCCATCAGAACCAGGTCCTTTTTCCTCCACTTTTCCTTTCTCTTCCTCTCCCCTCTTCTCTCCATCCTCCTCACTATCCTTCTCCTCCTCCACCTCTACCTCCTCCTCCTTCTCCTCCCCTTTCCCGTCCTCCCCTTCCCCTCCTCCCCCTCCTCCACCCTTCCCCTTCTCCCTCCCCCCCACACCAGACCCCCTTTTCTTCATCCCCGCTATAAGCCTCCCCTTCACCTTCTCAAGCGCTGCTTTCAGTGCAGCCTCCCTTATCCCCTTTACATTCAGACTCGCTATAAGCTCCTCTATATCCTCGCGGTAAGTGTAGCAGAACCAGCGAGAACCAGACCACCCAGTCCCCACCTCACCTCCCACCCTTCCTCTCTCACTTCCCCCCTCGCCTTCTCCTCCTCCGCTCCCTCCTCCTCGCCACACCTCCCCTTCTCCCACCATCCCTCCTCTCTCCTCCACCCACACCACCTTAGGCTCACCACTGAGCAACCAGTACCGGTTGTAGTGCCTATCCAACCCCAGGGGCACTGTTCGCACCACCAGCCAAGCCATCTCCTTTTCATACGCCTCCTCTCGCTTCTTCCACTCCTCCTCCCGCTTTCGCTCCTGTGCCATGCGCTGCGGAAAGGCAAGGGAGTGAAAGTGAGAAGCAGGGGTTTGTGAGAAAAGAGCACATTACTTTGTATGCCTCCTGCAAGGATGCACCTGACGAATCTTCCCCAAAGCCTCCTACTCTTTCCAAGCAAAGAGCACATCACTTTGTATGCCTCCAATCCCACTCCCTCCAAGCATCATCCCCTCCCTTGCATTGCATCACCCCTTCGCCTTCACCACCGCCTCACCTTTCTCTCCATCTCGGTCCGTGCCCTCTCTGCAGCTCGCTTCTCTGCCTCCTTGCGCCGAATGTACTCGCTCTTCAGCCTGCCAGCCATTGTGTTGAGCAGTTGGGGGTAGGAAGGGAAACCGGGGTGGGGAGGAAGGTTGGTTGAAGGTGAAGACTTGTGATGAGATCTTCAGGTGTCTAAGAAATGCGTCTCACCTCTAACTTGCCATCCCACCCCTCACCTGCCTACCCTTCACCTGCCCACCCCTCACCTGCCTACCCTTCACCTGCCCACCCCTCACCTGCCTACCCTTCACCTGCCCACCCCTCACCTGCCCATCCCCACCCCTCACCTGCCCATGCGCTCCTCCTCCTGCCTCAGCTTCTCTTTATGCGCCAATACTGCCCGCCTGTCCATGGGGTCGCCCCTGTACTCCCTCACTTCCTCTGGCACTGCAAACAGAAACTCCACCTCCTCGTCTGTATCACACTCCCCCTTCTCACTCCCTTTCTCGCTCCCCTTCTCGCTCCCCTTCTCCTTCTCCTGCTCCTCCTCCTTCCCCTTCTCTTTCTCTTTCTTCTTCCCCTTCCCTTTGCCACCTTCCTCCTTTCCCCCTTCCTTCTTCTCCTTCTCCCGTTTCTCCTTCTCCTCCTTCTCCTTCTTCTCCCGCTCCACCCGCTGCTCCTCCTGCTGCTTCCGCACCCTCCGCTCCTCCAGCACCTCAACGCTCCGCTTCTTCCCCAGCTCAATCGAAGCATCCATGTTCTCTGCGAGCATCTCACGCGTCTCCTCAGAGTCAAGCACGTCGGAGAGCAGCAGGGAGAGCACGGAGAGGTGCAGCCCGGGGGGCAAGGCGAGCGCATAACGGCAGGAGAGCGCGTGGGCAACCGTGGCGAGGAGAGGGGGCATGGGGCTCGCCCTGATGAGATACCTGGAGTGGTTGGGGGGAGCGGGCGGGAAAGAAGGGGGAAGTCTCCTCAGAGTCAAGCACGTCAGAGAGCAGCAGGGAGAGCACGGAGAGGTGCAGCCCAGGGGGCAGCCCCAGGGCGGGCCAGCAGGAGAGCGTGTGGGCGACGGCGGAGAGCAGAGGAGGCACGGGGCTTGCTCTTATGAGGTACCTGGATTGTGTGTGTGGGGGGGGAGGGAGGAAGGGGGGAGCAGAAGAAGCAGGCATGGGAGTAGCGTCTCCTCCTCTCCGCAGGTCGATCCCGGCCTCCATGTTCTCTGCGAGCATCTCACGAGTCTCCTCAGAGTCAAGCACGTCAGAGAGGAGCAGAGAGGGCACGCTCAGGTGCAGGGAGTCTGCTTTTGAGTCGACTCAAAAGCAGTCTCCTCGTAGTAGAACACGTCGGAGAGGAGGAGGAAGAGCACGCTCAGGTGCAGGGAGAGGAGAAGGGAGGACGGAAGGGAATGGGGAGAGAGGAGAGATGGCGAGGCAAAGGGAGCATGGAGGAGGAGAGAGAGTGATATATGGTGGCGAGGCGAGCAGAGGAGGCATGGTGGTGAGAAGAGGAGGCATGGGGCTCGCCCTGATCAGGTATGCGAGGTGAGGTGAGATGAGAGATAGAGAGTGTGGGTTACGGAGGGCTGACTTTTGAGTCGACTCAAAAGTCAGAGGAGGCATGGGGCTCGCCTTGATCAGGTACATGAAATGAGATGAGAGATAGAAGAGAGTGTGGGTTATGGAGGGAGATGGCGGAGAGAGGGAGATGGGGACGAGAGGAGACAGAGGAAATCAATGCAGGGTCCGTTGGAGGGAAGGAGATGGGGGAGAAGAGTGAGATGAGAGGAAAAATCCTCTTCAACTCCCTAGCCCCTTCCCCTGCCTGCCCTCTCTCATTCCCACTTCCGTCCTCCCTTCCCACTTCTCCTCACTTAAAGAGTTCTCGAGCAACAAACCCCTCTTCAAACTCACCTGCGAATGACCTCCTGCCACGTGGCAGCATTCAGAAGCCTCTTCCACCGGTCCAGAACCCTCTGACTCACGCCAATCCCCTCATGCCCGCCCGGCACCTCCCCGCCGCCCAGATTCAGCAGCGCCCGGAACAGCCCAGCGTGCAGGTCGGACAAAACCAGCCACCCAGGCTCTTCGTCCGCTTGTGCAAGCGCGCGTGCGAGCTTACGTAATGGGACAGGGGAGATCCTGGCAAAGCGGGTGAACTCCCGGTGAAACTGGAACACCTGTAGCACGTCACCCATAGACTGGGGTAGAAGGAGAGTGGGGTGGTTGGATTCGGCACCAAAAGAGTTGGACATGGATGCATTGGGTGGCACCAGAAGAAGCTGTGGTTTCTTGTGGTTGTCCGAGGTATGGGGAGCCTCGAGTTGGGGTGAGTTGGGAGGATGAGGGCCAATGGCAGCGCGCCGTTTGGCCATGTCAGCATCGACCATCTGGTCAATGATAGTATCGATATCAGCACCCTCCTCTTCCACTTTCCTGTCCTCCTCTTCCTTCTCTTCCTCCTTTTTCCTCTCCTCCTTCTTCTCCCCTTCTTTCTTGTCTTCCTCCTCCTTCTCCTCCCCCTCCTTCACTCCTTTCTCCACCATCCCACCATCAACATCACCACCAAGAGCCATTCCAACATCTGCAGCTCTCTCAACCGCATCAGACCCACCAGCACCGGCGTGCATCCCCCCCTGGCGCTGGGCCTTCCCCCACAGGGAGAGATCCAGAGTTTCATCCAGGCCCAGGGCAATTTCAGCCCGCAGAGGAGTGGGACGTGGGGGTCGCTGGGGCAGTGTGAGTGCGAGGGCGGGTGCGGGAGAGGGAGTATGAGGCTGAAGAAGGGATTGAGCAGCGGATTGGGCTCCTGGGAGTAATGAAGCAGTAGCAGCAGAAGTGGCAGCGGTAGTGGTAGCATCTGGAGCAGCAGTCGGGATTGCTGGTGTGGCACCAGTGGTAGCTGCAACAGCAGCAGCACCACCACCACCACCAGCGGCAGCGGCAGCACCACCGGCAGAGGCAGCAGCAGCAGCAAGTGCAGCAGCTAACTCCCTCCGCTCCTCCTCTTCCACCTCCAGGTCTTCAATTGGGTACTGCCGCTTGCGCTGCTGCTGCTCCTTCTCCCTCTCCCTCTCCCGCTGCTTCTGCAACTTGCGCTCCTGCATTGCATACGTACGCCAAGGCGCATTAAGAAGATTTCTGGCTAACTTCCAGCTCTTCATAAAAAAGCATGACAGCAGCTAAGACCATGGGATAAGGACACGAGCACAGCACAGTGTGCTGCTAATCTCGCCCTTTGAATCTGGCCCAAACCAGGGTTTAGGGTTTTTGAGGCGCCTTTTTTGAGGCGCCTCAAAAATCGTTTCGCCCTTTGAATCTGGCCCAAACCAAACCCTGGCCTTACCTCGTCAGCCTTCCTCTGCTCCTCCTTCTGCTGTTGCTTCGCTTGGCTGCGTTTCAAGTTTGGACGCAGGAACATGGGAAAGTAGGAAGCGGTTAGTTTTATCAATCAAAGGTTTGAAAAATGTGAGCAAATGAACCATGCAGGCGCCTGGTATTTCACGATCTACAGTCTGCGACCTGAAGAGAAGAACCTCTCCTGAACTGTCAAGCTGTACACTACAAAGGGAAGGGAAGACGTTCTTTCATGACACCCACCTATTGAGCCGACTTCAAAGACAAAATTCTAGGCAAGGTGAGGCGTTCTTTCAATCCACACACCTTCGCCAGCAGACGGGACATAGCAGAGCCTGCCCTCCGCCTTCCTTCCCTCCTGCTCCCTCCTCTCCTTCTTTCCCCCCTCCTTCCTTCTCTCTGCATCCTGGGGTTGCTACAGGACGCGGCTCACTCGTTTCTGCTCCAACCTGCGATCCTGGGGCTTGCGACTCTTGAGTTTTCTCTGTGCTGGGTTGTGACTCTGTCGGTTGTGACACTGATGCTCCCTCATTGCCCGGCAGCATGGCAGCAGGCAGGCACGGCAGGTGGAAGGCCCGGGGACAGGTGGAGCACGAGAGCAGCAGGGAGACGTTGTCTTTGCTGACCTTGCGCTTGCACACACTGATTGGGGATTGGGGGGGGAGGACGGGGAGGGAACGTGGATGAGCGAGGGCAGGAGGAGCACGAGAGCAGCAGGGAGACGAGCCATTGATGACCTTGCGCTTGCACACACTGAGGAGGAGAGGGGGAGAGGTGGGGGGGGGGGGCGAATGAAACATAGGTAGAGCAGGGGAACAAGGAGGAGCACATGAGCAGGGGGTATTTGTTCTTGTGTGCCTTGCTTGCGCCTGCACACATATCGAGCGGAAAAACTCAAACGCGTGGCATAGCACTTACTGGCATTTCTCTGTGCGAGCAGCTCCTTCGCCCTCCACTCCTTCGCCAACCACAAAGCCCATTCCCTCCTCGCCTCCTATCTACTCCACACGCACGCTTGTGGCTCGACTTAATCGCGGACACACGGAACTCAAACGGGTGAGCGCGGCACTTACTGGCATCTCCCTATTGGAGCAGCTCCCTCGCCCTCCACGCCCTCGCCAACCACCAAGCCCACTCCCCCTTCGCCTCCAACCGCCACCGCTCCACCTCCTCCACCCTCTCCTCCCTTTCCACCCCCCTCCTTCCCCCGCTTCTGCTGCTTCTGCACCCCTGAACCACCCTTTTCCACACCATTCCCCACCGAGGCCTTCCGTTTTTTTGACTCTCCTGCTCCATCTGCCCCTAACCCTTCTCCCCGCCCCTCTCCACCACCATTACCATCCTCACCCCCCCCTTCTCCATCCTTGCCCCGTCCCTTCCCCTTGCCCTTCCCAGGACTTTTCCTGCTGGGACCGAATCCATACTTGGACCGCAGGTCACTAGCAACGGTCCACTCGTTGTCCTGCAGCAGGCTGCGAGAGGCGAACCGGGTGAGCCATGCGCTTATCGGCTTCTTGCCTATGTGGTCGCTGCGAGCAGGGAGAGGGAGGGAATGAGAGAGAGAGGATGAGGGAACACCAGAAGTGGTGAGAGAGAGAGGTGAGGAGCTGAATCCATACGTAGAGCACAGGTCAGTAGCGACAGTCCACTCGTTGTCTTGGAGCAGGCGGCGAGAGGCGAATCTAGTGAGCCATGCGTTTATGGGCTTCTTGGCAATGCGGTTGCTGTGAGCGAAGAGAGGGGCGAGGGTGGCAGAGGGTGAGGGAAGACCGGAGAGGGTGGGAGAGTGTGAGGTGAGGTGAGGAGCTGAATCCGTGCTTGGTTGGAGCGCAGGTCACTGGCAACGGTCCACTTGTTGTCCTGCAGCAGGCTGGGAAGGGCGAAGCGAGTGAGCCACGCGTTTATGGGCTTCTTGCATATGCGGTTGCTGCGAGCAAGGTTGAGGAGGAGGGTTGAGCACGGTAACACAGGGCGAGAAGTGAGAGGTGAGGTGGCAAATTGGGTGAGCCACGCACTGATGGGTTTCTTGCAAAAGCGGTTGCTGTGGGTAGGGCGAGGCGAGATTAGAGGGACTAGCAGTTGCGAAGTGTGAGCTGATAAATTGAAAACAGTGGGGTTGGGAATGCCTTAAGTTAATCAAATGGTAGAAGTTTGATTCAACACACAAACAAGCCTAACTTCAATCACATGCCTCCATTATCCTGCAAGACTTGCACGATTCCCCTTTTGCTCACCTGCCTCTTTTTAAGACGACTCAAAAACATGCCTCCATTATCTTGCACGATTCCCCTTTTGCTCACCTGCCTCTCTCGACTTGTGCGTCCTGAATCGCCGTTACAAGTGCACCCTTGCTCAGCTTGCCTGAAACATCAAGTCTCCAAATTATGTCGGATTAGATCAACACAGAGTTCATGCGGCGACTTAGAGACGTTAAGGGAGCATACATGTTCTGTCTGCCTAAATCATGAATTCCCAGATCAAATGGAAGTTTTTTTAGTCGATTCAGAAACGTAGCTAGTGCAACCTTACTCCATGTGCCTGAGACGTGTAAGCAACAAACCAGCACAAACCAGAACCGACCAGATCTCATCACATCAGATCGTATCAGATCTTATCGATCTCTAATCAAGTCTATACAAAGCTCAACGAATCAGGCAAAGCAGGCAATAGACAGGCAAAAAGAATCAGCCTTGAGACAGGATGGCAAACTGGACCGCTTTCATGAGCCTCGTGTTACACCAGCAACCGCAGTAGATAAACGTATCCTGAGACTCTCAAAAACATGGCATGATCCGCAATCTATAAGCGTGTCCTAAGAAATCTCAGAATATGCCACCAACCAAAGCTGGTCAAGGAGATTTCACAATTGAGACACCAGCCGCAGCGAAAACGAAATGCCTTACTTTTGTGAACGATAGGGATGGCAAACTTGTGGAACCAATCCGGCAGATCCCTGTAACCAGACTGCTTCAGCCGCCTCTTCCCCTCAACCGCCTCTGTCTCGCTATTGAGTGCCTCTTCATAAGTCAACCCGCCCTGGCCCGTCTCGGTACACGTCCATATACGCTGCTTATAGCGTCGAATGGCGGAAAGATAGTCCCTGATCAGCAGGTTGCGGGAAGCACGAAAGTGGGGAGGACGGGAATGTTGATTTGTGGAAAAATGTTTGGAAGGTCAAGCGCTGGAAGTAAGTCAGCTTCTACCATAATCTAGAACGGAAGGTATGAAAGATCACAGTGTAAACTATGAAAGTGGAACCAGTTTCGATTTGGTTACGGTATCAAGGCACCCAGGAGCCGATCTCTCTCTCATATTCTTGCCACTGCGATTCTACTAAACAGAGGGCAGCAGGACGAACGGGACGCGGTGCTACGCAGGTTTCGGCCGAAAACAACGAATTCGGGTGGTCGAACTAAAATTAGGGTTTGCTCTGACATGTTGGGGCCAGAATCAGAGAAAAGCGGCGCAATGCTCACTCGTAATTGCGAAATGCTTCTCTCGTGAACCTGACGATATACAGCTGCTCGTTATCCTCCAAGTCCGCAGGTGGCTGGGCTAAGGGATGTAATTTTCCGCCTAGTAACGGCATTGCGGGCAGACTAAAACCCGAACATAGAATGCAACTACAAGAAGCGACGGAAGTGGGAAAAGAGAGAGATCAGGATGGAAAACGAGAAAGAACGAAAGATGGAAGGATGGGAGCAATATCAAGGCTGGGCCAGCGAGGTGTTTTCAAATTCGAACAAACACCAATGTTCGCGATTCGCGAAAGCAATCTCAAGTAGTGTTCATGGATTGCATTGCACACCGAGCCTGCATTGTCGCACAGGGGTTACGCCTTCGCGAATGAATTTACGGCAACCAATTTTAGTGACCACAAGGGAAATTTCTAGGTCAAAACAGGCTGTAATGCTGTGAAGGATAGTTTTGTCCACCTGTCGCCCTTCGATTAGCCGCGCTTATTGTGGAGGTTTGTGGCTGTGAGGCATGAGTTCCGTCCTGGTCTCCGGGTGTACCCGTTTGAGAAACAACCCATATTTCTTACAAGCCACTGAAGCTCATCGTGAAAGTACCATGCCAGCGTCACTGGCTTCTCTCCAAGCAACTTGAATTCGATCATCCCAAGGCTTAGCCACTGGTCAACTGATCGACTAGTGCGGCTCAGAAGGGTTACGCATGGTATAGCGAGGTTATAGTCTCTTACCGTTTTTCACCGCAACAAACCGAACAGAGTTTTGGTGGATCCTAAAAGCTAGTCAAAGCATTTCTTTGATATGGTTCATAACGACACTTCCCTGATCATCCCAAGGCTTCTCCCACTCCCGCTTTCAGCTTCCCCGTCGCATGTCGAATCAGATGAACGAGCGGAGTAGATGACTCCATATAATTCCAGCATCCCCACGAAAATTACGAGTTCCTGTTGATATCTTTACCAGGGAATGAAGGCGTGGTAACACTTTATACTCGCACTGACACCGCTCGCATGATCGGATGATTCGAAATTCATCCCGAGGTCAGTTCTTAGTCTCCTCTTCTCGGTTCCCCATAGTCTCCTCCTCAGTTTCGCCGTGCCTCTTGTCCATATTTGTTCGCATTACAACGCGATTAGCAGCCACCAAGAAGTAATCGCCGTATCGCCGCTTCTCTCCCTGCTGCCGCTTCTCTCGCCTCAATTCCTCCAGGCTCCAGCCTCCACCTGGCTGTACCCCTCAACCCGACCGAACGACCTTCGCCACGCGACAGCTCAATGTCGCAGCTGCTGTCGCAATCCTCGCCGCAGAGCCCATGGTCGTCGCAGCACCATCATGCGCGAGGATTGTGGCGAGCAATCGTCGCAAGCAAATCGGATTGGTTGCTGTTCCTCGGCTTGCTCCCAGTCAACGTCGTTCTCTCGCTCTACTTGCCTCCCTATCAGCGCTTCATCCCGCCTGAAACCCTTCACTCTCCGCGGTATCCCGTGGTTGACAATGCAGGGGCAACCTTTTTTACAGTAAGTCCCACCACCATCGCCTCTCCCCCTCTACTTACCTCCTTATATCCGCTTTATCCCCCCTAAAAGCCTTCATTTGTCGCTGACAACTCGTCAAGCCATCATATCACCATTGCTCTCTCGCTATACTACCTTATAGGCTCTTCATTTGTTAATAGCCTCCACTCTCCACTCTTTACGCTGCCCCGGACGCTGATTGCTGCAGGCTGTTTGGGTGCTATCTTGTGAGTCGACTCACACAAGCCACTTCACCCTCCCCCATTCCTCCTCATCCCACCCGAGCCTGATTGCTGCAGATTGTTTCAGTGCTGGCTCCCGTGCTTGCATTCCTGCTGGTGCTGCTCTTTGAAAGCCTTCATCCTCCTCTGTTCGCGCTTCCCCTCCCCACGGGCCTGATTGCTGCAGACTGCTTCAGTGTTGGCTCCCCTCCTTGCTTTCCTCCTGGTGCTGCTCCCTCAAAGGAACCTGCTCGAGCTGCACAAGTCCATACTCGGTACAAGCTAGACCACTAAACGCACAGGTCCATACTCGTTACAAGCTAGACCACTAAACGCACAGGTCCATACTCGTTACAAGCTAGACCACTAAACGCACAAATCCATACTCGTTACAAGCAGCACCAATACTGGTTCCGCCGTTGCATTCCCCTTCCCGCACTGACTTCCCTTCTCTTTCTTTCTCCCGCATCCCTTGCCTTCCCCCCTCCCCTCCCCTCACCATCCGTTACCGTCCCTCACCGTCTCCCACATCACATCATGCCCCGTATTGCACCACAGGGCTTCTCTCAGCCGTGCAGACCACCTGGCTAACTGCTACTCTCCTCCAGTGTGTCATCGGCCGGGCCCCCCTTGACACCTCCGCCCTTTCCCTCAACCCCCCCCCATCTTCCCCCTGTCATCTCCCCCCTTTCCCACACTGTCCCACATCATGCCCCGTACTGCATCACAGGGCTGTTCTCAGCCATGCAGACCACCTGGCTGGCTTGCTGTTACTCTCCTCCAGTGCGCCATCGGCCAGCCCCCCTTGACACCTCCGCCCTTTCCCTCACTCCCCTTTCCGCCCATTTTCCCCCTATCATCCCCCTATCATCCCACATACTGCACCACAGGGCTGCTCTCAGCCGTGCAAACCACCTGGCTGGCCGCTACTCTCCTCCAGTGCGCCATCGGCCGGCCTCGCCCCAGCTTCCTCACAGCCTGCTTGCAAGGCACCCAACCAGTGTGGTTTCAATTCCTTTGCAGTGCCATGTTCATGTCCTGATGTCATCTCCTGCTGCGAATTGTATTCTTGAGCTTCCTATTATACCCCTGAACTTCCAGCATCACTCCCTAGAGGAGTCCCATCATTGCCTCCTCTCCTTTCCTCCCCATCGATCCCTTTCATCTGCGCGTTCTTTCCAGGTGGTCTCCCCGTCAGCGAGTGTCACCTGTGTGCCACCGCCCACCGACCTTTACTATTTCCGCAAGAGCTTCCCCTCCGCCCATGCAGCAGGTGACCATTTCGACCGGGAGCGATTCTAGAACGCACTTCAACGAGCATTTTTCCCATTCTGTGTTTCAAAGCGGGCGTCCCACTTCGCGCCTGTGCTGGGACACCATCACACTGTCTTCGTTGCATTATTATGCCAACCTCATTCCTCTGTCCTCACCCCACTCTGTCCTCTCCCCAATGCTGACACCCCGTTCCCCATTTTTTCCTATCCCCACCCTCCCTTCCCTTTTTACCTGTGTGGCAGTCAGCTTTTCAGCAGCAGTCTTCCTCCTCCTCTTCCTCTCCCGAACCATCCAGCGATCATTTCCCCAGCGGCCCTCTCCCCTTGATTCACCCAGCCACCGCCCCTCCCATCGTCACAATCACTCACCCCAGCACCGCACTCAATCACACCAGGAATGCAATCAACCCCTCCAGCATCCCCATCAATCACACCAATCCCCAGAGCACCCAAATGCCAACGCAACATCCTCCCCTCACAATCTTTTGGTGATCGCTACACCCTCCCCTCACAGCAACTTTACTGCCACCCGCCTACGGGACTCCCTCCGCGCAAGCCACCTCTGGCGCGTGCCGGCTGTCGCGTGGCCATTGGCCCTCGCGGCTGGTGCGGGGCTCGCTGACCTGGACACGTACAGCAACGCGCCGGGAGACATCCTAGCTGGCGTGGCTCTAGGTGGGTGGTGGTTTCAGTCAGCTGGAGAGGGGCAGGGGTGGGTGGGGATGGGTGACGTGGGGGGGTGGAACAAGTGTGGCTTGTGTAAGCTGGGTGCATGCGTTGGACAGCTCACCTACAGCAACGCGCCTCGAGACATTCTTGCTGGCGTTGCTCTAGGTGAGGTGGTCTCAGTCAACTAAGCAGGGGCGTGCGTGGGTGGCGGCATGGGTGGGTGGTGCGAGTGTGTGTGGCTTGTGTATGCTGGGTGCACGTCATGCCTGGAAGCATCATTGTTGGTGTTGCGTTGAGTGAGGCGTGTGAAGATTAGAACGAGAAATGAAGAAGAGAGGAGGATGCACTAGCAGCAGTTGGCATACATATAGGAAACCCTAATTGGGTTGTACTCGTTATAGGGTCCCACTGCAGGCTAGACAATTATAACATCCTGACACACCCCCATAGTCAAAGTGGGGTGTAATCAGCACAATGAGCAAGCAGGCATAGAGCAGGAGTTCACAATAGCGAGCAAAGCTAGAGTTAATCACAGCGGGCAAGTGAGGAGGAGGAGGAGCTGTGGAGGGAGAGAAGATTGGAAGCAACGACTGAAGCTGCAGAGGCACGGGCACAGGAGCGGCTGACTCAGTGGCTACCGAAGCAAGGGCAATGGAATACTGGAGTAACTGGCTCCGCGGCTATAGACGAGCGGCAGGAGCAACGGACCCACTGGCAACTGGTGCAACAAGCTAACTGGCTACCGAAGCAAGGGCGACGGACTACAGGCGCTGCAAGCGACACGACAGCTACGTTCACACAACCTCCTCCAGCTGCCCCACACCCCTCGACACACACCCCCTGCTCAAACCCTAGTTCCACTCCCACAGGACCCCCCTTTTACACACCCCTTGCTGCACCCTAGGTTCACTCACACCCCACCCCCTGGCACCACTACGTCGACTCCCACACACCCACCCCCCTCAGCGGCAGCTGCAGCAGTGGGAGACAGAGGAGGAGGAAGAGCAGGGGAGACCACACACCCGCCACCCCCTACTTCGCCACCCCCAGACCCTAACACAGGGCAGGGCGGGACAGCGGGTAGGGATGTTACGGGGGGGTGGGGGGGGGAGGGGAGGGGCGACGCGCGGCCTCCCAGGGCGCCAAAACAGGCGGCAGAAGGGGCGACGCTCGCCCCCCCCCCCCAGGTCGCGGCCCCCCAGGGAGCCGCGACGGGCGACAGGAAAAGAGGGGGGGGGAGGGGGCGGTGCACGGGCCCCCGGTGCGCCGCGACAGGCGACGGAGTATGGCCGGGGCGGGGCCGGGGCAGGGTCGAGGCAGGGCCGAAAGGGGCGGCGACGGGGCCGCAAGTGGCGGCGACGGGGCCGCGAAGGGGCGGCGACGGGGCCGCTAAGGGGCGGCGACGGGGCCGGTAGAGGCGGCGACGGGGCCGCGAAGGGCGACGGGGCCGCTAGAGGCGGCGACGGGGCCGCGAAGAGCGGCGACGGGGCCGCTAGGGGCGGCGACGGGGCCGCGAAGGGCGGCGACGTGGCCGCGAAGGGCGGCAACGGGGCCGCTAGGGGCGGCGACGGGACCGCTGGGGGCGGCGACGGGACCGCTAGGGGCGGCGACGGGGCCGCAAAGGGGCCGCGAGGGGCCTGGAAGGGCAGCAACGGGGCCGCGAAGGGGCCGCGAGGGGCCGAGAAGGGCGGCGACGGGGCCGCTAAGAGTAGCACACAGAGTAGCAGCGGAAGCAGTTAGGTGGGCCCACAGGCCAGGAGCGTAAATGCTCTGATACCATGTGAATATTAGAACGAGAAATGAAGAAGAGAGGAGGATGCAGTAGCAGCAGTTGGCATACATATAAGAAACCCTAATTGGGTTGTACTCATTATAGAGTACTCCACTGCAGGCTAGACAATTATAACATTCTGACAAGGCGGGCATGACGCCATGAGACGATGTGAACGTGACATACAGATACAGCTGCATGGCACACATTGCTCACTAAAATCTCGTTCAGGCACATTATCTCCTTCGGGGATATCTCCCTCGGCTTTCAGGCCTGCAGAAATCTAGAATGTTCCGCTCCCCTCTCTTTCCCTTTCGCCCTGCAGGAACCCTCGTGGCATTCATTGCTTACTGGAGGTTCTTTTCACCCACTCGTTGTGGCTCTGAGTCGGGTGAGTCACTTCACTTCAAAACTAGCAACCCGATTTTTGAGTCGACTCAAAAATCGACTTACTGGAGGTGCTTTTCACCTACTCGTTGTGGCTCTGAGTCGGGTGAGTCACTTCACTTCAAAACCAGCAACCCGGTTTTTGAGTCGACTCAAAAATCGACTTACTGGAAGTGCTTTTCACCCACTCGCTGTGGCTCTGAGTCGAGTGAGTCACTTCACTTCAAAACCAGCAACCCAGTCCGTCCCTGTTCGTGCCTATAGCAGTTCTGTAGGCTTGCTCTTTGCTGATTCTTGTTCGCCTCTCACTTTTTTTTTTCTACTTCTAGCTCTTTTCGTTCTCCTTTTCGTTGTTCACATGTGTATCACCCCCTATCCTTTCACACCTTATCCCCTACCCCCGTCAACCCTCCACAGGGATATCCCCATGGCTGGGCTTCGAGCTACTCAGGGACGGCGGCTCGCCTCCACGTGAACCTCCCTCAGCTGACACCCGTCTTGAAGTTTTGGTGACTGCTGCCTCTGCTGCTACAGCACCTGCTACAGCAGCTGAGACAGCGTTTGCTACTGTGCCTGTTACAGTAGGTGTAGCAGCAGCAGGCAGGGGCACAGCAGGGGCCACAGGAGATGCAAAAGCGGATGATTCGGGTGGGAAGGAAGGCTAATGCTGGGGCTTGAACTAGTTCACAGCTGGGAAATGGATTGGAAAAAGTGGTTACCTGTAAGGATCCGAGTTGCCGAACCAGCACCGGACCGCTAAGCCAGCAACAGGGGTGGTAGCAGCTGGCAGCAGCAATGGCAGCAGGACCAGCAACAGCATGGCTCCACACATGCAGGGGAAGGATGGAGAGAAGGAGCAGGACTTCGGGAGGTTGAAATAAACCCTTACCGTATTCCTTTTTAACTTCCAAGGAAGCCCGCCAGGCCAGATGTCATGTCACCCAGTTTCAGTGTCATGGTGAAAGAAACAGTCGAGCAGACAACAACAGCACCCCCATGAGGATTTCTTTGTGCAGGGCACGGTCAGTCAACAGGAATGACATTGAGCAACAAATTGAAGGTCAACTTCTGTGAAGACATTCCTTTCTCTGAATTTATTGCTGCTGACTGAAACTTTAGGAACACCTTTCAGCCTGCTCATAAAACTCTTAGGAAACAGGGTTGCGCATATGCAATTATAGTCAAGTGTCACGAAGGTTCTTATACTCAAGAGCGGCGTGTAAACACGGGAGCTTTCAGAAACAAAGCGCCACTAACATTTATAAGTTACAAGCATCACAACACCCGGAAAAACACCAACAAAAGATGCTAGACATGAGAGGTTTAGCACTTGATCCTGAAAGCACTCAAGACCGAAGTACTGTCTCCGTTCACGCGGAACAGAGAGCAAAACTGTGAAGGCATGGAATCCACGAGCGACGATGTGAAGTTCTTCGAAAAATAAAAATCAAGAACCACCGCGTGAACGGAGAACATCATTCATGTATTTAGGCAGCACGGAATTATTGGTAGGACATGGTGCGTCGGCCATGCTGCCTTACGAGAGATTGCAGGCTAGCCAACAACAGCGACAGTCGTGGTGACAGCTGCATAGAACCCCACGAGAAGAACCACCGCCATAATCGCCATAACGGCTGGAAGGTCGTCAAACAACACTCGACGTCGGAAGTGTCAGAGGCAATATCAAGAAACGCGTCACAGGCAGTATCAGAGAGTTTGTAAAAGCTTATGAAGGAAGGCGCTAGGGTTTCGTCAATAACTTCCTACTTCCAGAAGGCAGTCAGAGTTTTATACGGCAAACGCACTAAGCTCCTCAGGGAAGGACGTGGAAATGGAAATGTTTTGCGGCTCTGAAGTTGGGACGGGCAGACACGAGACATTTTCAGGTTGGGGGGTCGGAGCCAAATACACTGTATCTGACGTTAAAATCTGGCTTTTGATTGGCGTGATGTGTGAAATCAGTCACTAAGACGCGGATTTCGTGGCCAAGAACATTCCGGAAGCACAAAAGAATTCTCCAGAAAGAACGAAGCAATGTTGAGTTCGGTGTTGGACGGTGAAGTGAAGGGTTGTGGGCCAGAATATGTGGCATCATTCACCCTGGGGGACAGTCCCATCCAGCCAGCCATGCAATGGGTGCACCCGGGCAGGGACGCGCCTCGAAGATGATTGGTTCTGTGACGTAGCTTTGGATGGACTCTCACTCACGCACGACTCATCGGAAATCCAAAAGCCAGGCAAAATGTGAGAGTGTCCGTTCATTGAGGCACGTATCTGATATAGGAATGTTATGAGTTATACTAAAAGAGTGCGCGGAAGACTTTATAAAAAGGATGAAAACTACCGAATTACCGAATGATCAAGAATGATAAAAGCCCAGCCCCCGAATTACAAAGAAGCCTTCACAAACTGGGGCCAGTTTGTGAAGAACTCCTGCTGTTTTCGGGATAGCAGGGTTTAGGGGAGGTTTCCGAACCTATTTTCGCTGCTTTCCCAAACCTATTTTCCAGCGTTGACTTCCGTTGAGTAATTCGGGTTCTGCCCTTAAAGGAGCACGCATTCTCAGGGTCGAAACCGTGCTAGGCGAAGACCTCGGGACGTGGATGGATTGGAAGTGTCGCGATTAGTGCGGGGCGACTCGGTGGTGGTTGGGGCTGAAATCCAGGCCAAACCTGAATCTGACGCGAAGAGCTCGGGGCTGTACTCGCTAGGAGCACCTTCGACAGCAATGAATGTATATTTATTACACTCTCCCACCTTCTAAATAAGGTCCCCCTATATGTAGACGAGTGTTGCAGTAGCGTGAAAAATGCAGATCTCCGTCGAAACTGATCTGACGGTGTTTGGAAGCGTTGACTGTCGAGTTGACGCGAGGCTGACTTGTTGACCAGGCGAAATTGGAATGTCAGCCGTCGAATACTGCCAATCTCGATCGGGCGGTCGAAATCGAATGTCGTGATGAAAATCCGCGAAAGAACGTGAGTTGTTGACGAAGCGGATTGCGATCGTACTGTAGCGTCGCTGGCGATGTTGGCGGGATTCTGACTCCGTGTCAGATGTCAGTGAATCGGGAGTCGTTGATGTCGTGGAAGCCATCGCGGGCATCCGTGCTGTAATCTGTCAGAGAAGACTGTTAGAAGCTGTTGAGCAAAACAGTCCAATGGCACTTTCTCCCCCCCTCCAAGATAAAGCTGCCCACCAAAATGTGCACAGCTGCGCGGGTATGAGTGAGGAAAGTAGAACGAGAATGAATGACTAAGGAATGGAAGTGATACAAATATGCAACCCTAGAAATGTGTACCCCATATGGGCTACCCCACTATAGCCTACACAATATTATAATTTGACACACCCCCATAGGCAAAGTGGGGGAGAACAAGGGGTCACAAGACCATTCAAGCAAAAACAGACAAAGCTCAGGGTGGATCACAACGTCACCACACAGTCCGAGCACAAGGTCAAGGCCACAAGGCCAGTTCACATGCAGGAGTACACATATATATATAAGGCTAAACAAGCAAGAGCAGGTATATATATATATATGTAAGAGTACAAGCAAGGTCAAGGGGTGAGCAAGTGAGGCAAGACAGGCACAAGACCCAGCTGAGTGCAGAAGCGCTGATGATCACAAGGCGGAAGTGCCTTGGTGAAAACATCAGCAGTGTTGGCCTCAGAGGCCACGTACGCAAGTCGCAACTGACCACGCTGCTGCAACTCACGAGCAAGAAAGTAGCGGAGAGCAATGTGCTTCGTTCTGTGCTCCAGGCGCTGCTCCCGACACAAGGCCAGCATGGCCTTGTTGTCTACGTACAGCACCGGAGGAGAACGAGGCGGCTCTCCGAGGTCAGTCAGCAGGTAGGTAAGCCAGCGAAGCTCCTGTGCAGCCATGGCCCCGGCGTAGATCTCAGCCTCACAACTGGAGCCGAGAACAAAAGACGAGCGAGTAGCCCGCCACGAAACAGAGCCGGAACCAAGGCTGAAGGTGTAACCCTGTGACGACCGCTGCGTAGCCTGGTCGTCTGCCCAAGAAGCGTCCGCGTGCCTAGTGAGGACCACTGGACTCCGCCCTCCAAGCACTAGCCCCATGCCCGACGTACTGCACAAGTAGCGCAACACCCTCTTCGCAGCAGCCATGTGCTCTGGTCTGTGTCTCCCATGAGCAACATAGCGTGCAAGAATGCTAAGAGGGTATGCAAGGTCAGGTCGTGTGCAGGTCATCAGGTACATGAGGCAGCCAACAAGCTCTGGGTACGGGCCACTCGACTCTACGGACTCATCCGAAGGCAGAGCTGAGAGCAAGTGGCGAGTAGACAGAGGAGTGGCCTGAGGCGAGGAGTACGTGAAGCCGAAGCGCTGAAGGACCTGCTGCACCATGTGTGACTGAGTCAGGGTAATGGTGCGGCGTGCTCTGTCCCGGGTGATCTGCAAGCCAAGGTAGCTGCGCAGTTCACCCAGGTCTGTGCACGTGTGTCTCTTCTGCAGCTCGGACTTCACGTGGGCGAGTCCAGCAGTGTCAGCTGTGGCAAAGACCAAGTCGTCGACGTACACGAGGATGTAGAACGGTGGCAGAGAGGTGTCGGTGCGTAGAAACAGCCACGGGTCAGCAGTAGAGGGAGCAAACCGAAGAGCCGCAAGTGTAGTCCTCAGTGTGTCGTGCCACTCGCGCGGTGCCTGGCGGAGACCGTAGACTGGCCGTCGGAGGCTCCACTGGGTGCCAGGAGGGAAAGTCCCAGTGAAGCCAGGTGGACGGCGCAACCAGATCTCCTCGTGCAGGCTACCCTGCAGGAAAGCAGTGCTGAAGTCAAGGGAGTGAAGCTCGTAGTCACGCTGAGCGGCTACGTGTAGCAGCACCCGAAGAGTGGTCACCTTCGGGGTGGGAGAGAAGGTCTGAAATTAGTCAACTCCCTGCCGCTGACTGAAGCCACGAGCCACGTACCGTGCCTTGAAGACAGGTGGAGAGCCCGGCGGCCGCTTCACCCTGAAGATCCACATGCCACTGACGATGTTCGCCCCAGGAGGGGGAACGGCGTCAACGTAGGTGCCTGTGGACTTCCAGGAAGCCATCTCTGCATCCATAGCTGCCTGCCACTGAGAGGAGTAGGGACCCTCTACGGCCTCCGCGTAAGAGCGCGGAGTCGTGATGTCTAGTGCATCCGGGTCTCCCTCAGGGGTAAGCAGTATGGACGCGAGATGAGGTGAAGCAGCAGCCAGACACTGGAACTCCTCCTGCCTGTCCTCAAGGACGTCCGTGCCAAGAGCACACTCACCCCCGACGGACGGAGGACAGACAGACGCAGACTCAGCAACAAGACTAGCAGCGTAGTCTAGACGACAACGAGCAGCAAAGTCGACGAGCTCAGCAACAAGAGCAGACGCAGCAGTGGACTCAAAGGAGGGGTCAGTGACGACAGTAGCAAGGAGACGCGTGACAGTAGGACTAGCAGCACGAAGAGAGTCCGACTCAGGGTCGGCAAGCACAGGAAGAGAGGACTCAGGAGGAGAGGGCAAAGGGGCACGCAGAGGAGCAGTGGACGGACGGAGAGACATCCGGTGCGTGCCAGGGACAGGAGGAGGACGCTGACGCGAACTGCGACCACTAGTGCGAGCAGCACGAACAGGCGACGCAGGACGAGACGCAGGCTCACGATGCTCAGCAAGACCTCCA